ATTCCTTAGGTTCAGACATGACCCATTCTCGAGGCGACGAACAGACACGACATCACCACTTCCCCTCCCCCCCTCTCCGATGGGGATTCTCCAATGTATGACCTGCCCTGGTATGGGTTCTGAGCAGACAAGATGGCTATAAGGGACAGCAACACCACGTCCAGGGTCTCCTGGCAAAAGTTTTAGGCCCATTTCGGCTTGGTAGGGATACCAAATGGACTCAGCGAAGCTTTCGCAAGCCTCCTTAGGAAACCTATAAATTCCTGCAGCCAAAGTGCCATTCTGCAAGTTCGCAAGAGTTAGCAGTTCTCATCAAAGTGAAATCTGTTCGTGACATGAACCAGCATCTAATAAAAGAGTAAAACCCCACTCCAGCTCCTCCTTCCTCCCCCTAAGCCAAACAGTGCCAGTTTTTGATCACGAAGATGTTCTCCAAGTTCTAGTGATCCAGAAAAATCAAGTCGCTCACCTCCGTTGTCGTTTCCGTTTCGTGGGCGTCACCTCATGCGTGTTTGGCGTTTGACCAAGTGAAGCGGCCAACGGTACGGTAGCCGACGGTGGTGTCGGCATGCCGGGAATCATACAGCTGGCCAATTTTTCGGCCAACAATGGATTATTATGGAATGACGACAGTAGGTTCAACGCCGGCTTCTTGTCGGCGTTGAGGTCGTTGTTGAACGACTGAAGACGGAGGATTTCTGAAAGCAGCAGATTCATGTTATGGTGCGCAATGCAACTCAGACGCGTGATGATCACTTACGTCGTTGAAGTTCAGCATCCTCTGCCGAAATGGCTTTGGTGTTGAGCAGTTGCGGCTCACCGGAGGAGGTTGAGACACAGTCTGGAGAGGGATCCCTATCCGATCCTGAACATAAAGGTAATAAGGAATATACAAGAGCTTTGTAAAGGAATATGACGGGAATTTGGTGCGGACAGAGACGTCACTTCTTCAAAGATTCTGAACAGGTACTAAGTTATTTATGACGTATCGAGAAAATATAATATCATTTCTTCCCCTTAGGTTCCGAACACGGCACGCCTTTCGTTCGAAAACAAGCTTGCAACATACGATACCTTTCCCCTCAATATTTCTTAGTCTTTCCCTCACACCCAACCTACCTATTACTTCTCATGGAGTTTTTGGACACGTTCACGGAGAACTCCCACAGTTTTCCT